TGTCGCGATACAGAGCTCTCCGCCTGTTGAACTGCGGCGGTCTCCACTAGTGCCCGGAGGTTTTGGTGGATCACTTGTTCCTGAGGGCCATTTGGCTCAGGAAGGCCGCGTAGAAGCATTGCCGTAGCGGCGACGTTCTTACTAGCCTGAGTGAACTAGAGGGGATCGTTCCCCCTGTTCATGATGTTGCGCTGGACCCGACGGGCGTGGCCCCAGGCGCCGCTCGCCGGTTTATGCGCACGGGGCGCAGTGTGGTGCGCCGAGCGTGCTGGCGCAGTCGGTGGCTGGTGCATCCACTGTTGTCGTAGTTCCTCGCCGTGCTTTCGTGTGAGCTCGGGGGTCTCCGCACGAGGGTCCGGAGGGGCGTGAATCTGCAAGGACGATGTCACCACCAGTGGCTATCCCGGAGCATCCACCATAGCGCACTCCTAGGACGGACGGTGGCTAGGCGCCATGTCACCGATGCTGGAGCCGTCACTCTCAATATCATCATCCATGAGGTTGAGGAAACAGGTGGGAGCATAGCTCGCCATCCCCATGAATTCGGACGTGAGAGGGGCGGCGCCGGCATCCTTCGGAGCCCTCGGGCGTACGTGTCAGCGGGAGATGTGAGGCCGCAGGGGAACCAGTCGTATGGCGGTCGCGATGGGGACAACGGGGTCCCTCCGGGTAATTGGTGGAAGATAGAAAATAGCAAGTAAATAACAGCATATACATTACTCACAGCGGGGTTTGAGCAGAGAGTTTGCTCGGAATGAAGCGTAGATGCCTTGTTGTTGAAATCGTCGCGCGTCCTAGAGCCAATGGAGGACACCCCTCCGACGGGCTCTGGAATGAGTGCCTCCTCGCCGAGGTGTAGTACACCGAGCCGGTCGGCGACGAAGTCCAGGCTTCCAAAGATGAAGGCCTGGGATGGCTTGGAGACGGGTGGAACCCACATCCCAACAGGTGGGAGTGAGGGAAACTCCAGTGAGCCGAAGCGAGTCGTATCGCTTGAGCCCGCCATGGCGAAGGTGGCGGAAAAGTGGGCCATCCGATGACCAAAAAGTGTTGAACGTACAACGTCTTCCCCACGGACGGCGCCAACTGTTGGTGCAGAAAGTGACCAACAAATAAATATTTGTAGTTTTTCCGTATGTTGTGATCGGAGGTGGCCTAGCACTCAATGACACAGGGTTTATACTGGTTTAGTTTGAGTCGGTCGGTGACTTTATTCCTAAGCCTAGGTGCTCGAAGTTTGCCGTGGGGTTACAAACGAGAAGGAGAAAGATGGGGGGTACAAGAGGTCCGGTCGAACTTCGGTCAGAAGGGCCGAGAGTGACAAGAGCCCCGCTATGGGCTAAGTGTTCAAGTGTGTGCTTGAGGTTCGAACATGGCGGTTCTGTGGTTGTGAACTTGATCGATCTAATGAATCTGGAATCACTTGAATGTTGGGAGAGAGCGCATCCCCTTTTATAGATGAAGGGGATGGCCTTACAAGTGAGAGGGAGAGAGTACGTATGCTTCTAAGCCTTGTTGCCCATGCCGGCGGGTACAGGATGATGGTAGGTGGCCGCAACACTGTTGGATGTCGGATGCACGTGGGAGGTTGCGTCGTTTTGTTTGGGTATGGCAGATGTCGGTACCTGCTATACTGTTGATGCCCAGAGGCATGTGAGGAGTTTTACCATGTTTACTCGATATGGTAAATACCGGCGCCCACAACACTGTCGATGCCTAGAGGCACGTGGGGGAGCCTTACCGTATGGGAGTTAACGACGCCCACAATACTGTAGGGGAAAATGTCGGCGCCTACAACATTGTTTGGGCTCTGTTGTGCCAGGGAGGTTGCAGAGTACTGTGTTTACAGGTGTACAGGGTATGGTCCCTGTATTATGGTTTGACTTGTGCGCCCTGCCTTGCTTTCTCCACCCGTTTTCTGGTCCTTACCGAGCGGGCGTCCCCGGTCGGTTGGTCCTAGTCGGCTCTGATTGCGCCAGTCGGTTTTTGGCGTACCCCGGTCGGAGACATGGGGTTGAGTCGGAAGTAGTGTTTTGGCCAGGCCTTCCGGTCAAAGAGGCTGTCCAGAGGCGGGCTGGAGATCGAAGTGAGCGCTCCGGTCGGAGAGGTGGGCCAGAGTCGGAAAACGGGCACCGCTCCTCCTCGGCCAGGCCTTTCGGTCGGTGATTGGATCGCTCTTCTAGCCTGTTGTTCAGATACTTGGGCCAGCCCATAAGTTGCACATTGTCTGCTTGGGTCGAGCCTTTGTTGGGTAGCCGGTCCGCGAGGGACCCCAGGTTTATGAACCCGACAATTACTTTTGTGAGCGGGTTCATAGAGCGCTTAGCCTGCTAGTTTATCAGCTAGGTTAAGTAGCCGAGTCTCCTATAAGAATGGTGCTTATACGATGCTCTGCCTATGAGTGCACCCTGTTCTCTGGTTGGGTGGTAGTAGCGGGAGGTGACAGTCCCATCTATCCTTTGTAGTCCACTCCGAATTGAGCAGGTTCTTAAATTGTAGGACCGTACTCGTGTCAGTAGAGTTATCTATTGTGGGTGCTCTACCGTCTAAGCGGCGTCCCAAAATGCACAAGAGTAGAGTTAGTCTTAGCTATAGTTGGATGTATATATACTTTGACCATGTAATAGGAACATCATAGGAATCTACCTCACTCGTTGTTCTCCCGAGTTAACTAGTTTATATTATCTTAGTGATCTATCCCCTGAGTGTCATTATGCTTTATTCCTATCATTACATTCACCCTTGCTTTAGCTATGCTGGTATGTTGATTGATAGATATTCCTTTATTACTCAATAAGTCTTTGCTCTATTGTTTCCCGGTGGTAAAATATAAATAACGATACCTGGAATACTCCCGGTAAAATGCTACAATGGTATTCTGTGAGCTTGTGGTATCCTTTATATTCTATTTGCACTTAATAAATACCAACAGCTGTCGTGGGCCTTAACGAGCCAACCAAGCCATATACTAATACAACTACGACTGAGTGTATACCTGGGGTGGAGCCCATGGGATTGGGGGCCTAGGGTGGCCGGCCGTGGGTGCGATGTGGGGAGGCGGCGGATACAACGAGGGAGATAAAACGAGTGGATAAGAAGCCATTAGCCGTCCGTGCGTGAGTGTATGGTCCATCTCTCTCTCTCTTTTTTATATATAAGGGTACAATTGCCTTTTTTAGGGAGACTAGATGGAATCGTTGATAAATATGTTGTGTGCACCGTTTTTACGAGTGGGGCTTTCCTATTTTTGCTCGAAGTCAAAAGTATTCATTTTAGCCTATGGCAGGCAGATACATGATCTCCCACGCCTATAATGAAAACCAGAGTATTGTCATGTTTTATACACCATTAGCCGTAGTGTATGGTCAATCTCTCTCTCTTTTCTTTTTATATAATGGTACAATTGCCTTTTTAGGGAGACGGATGGAATCATTGATAAATATGTTGTGTGCGTCATTTGTACGAGTGGGGCTTTCCTATTTTTGCTTGAAGTCGGAAGTATTCATTTTAGCCTATGGCAGGTGGATATACATGATCTCCCACGCCTGTAATGAAAACCAGAGTATTGTCATGTTTTATACACCATTAGCCGTCCGTACGTGAGTGTATGGTCAATCTCTCTCTCTCTTTTCTTTTTATATAAGGGTACAATTGCCTTTTTATGGAGACGGATGGAATCATCGATAAATATGTTGTGTGCGTGGTTTGTACGAGTGGGGCTTTCCTATTCCTGCTCGAAGTCGGAAGTATTCATTTTAGCCTATGGCAGGCGGATACATGATCTCCCACGCCTATAATGACAACCAGAGTATTGTCAAGTTTTATACACCATTTTAATGTTCTCCTGCCCTACTTTTTTTTAACTAAAATTGTGATAAGTTTGCACATTGGTCGTTTAAGAGGTAACTATAAAATAGGTGTTACTTTTTATCATATTCACAGTATTATGCATTGTGTACCTAAATCTGTCCCTTAAATCCTACGGCGACACACTATTGTGTTAATGTCAAATGGTGCTATAAATTTTTCCTGTACAATTTTTTTTCATGTTCATCGTAAAATTCCCGTAGCACCGCGCGAGGTATCATCTAGTTTAGAAATAGTTTGGAATTCCTCATGCAAAATGGTCTTCTATATTTTAGGAGGGGTGTTTTAAAAACTGTTGGAGAAAGGCAATAAATGTGCTCCCTACTTTTTTTAGACATTTCTAAAACTCATTAGTTTATCAACCAATTTTTTTTGGAAATTATTGGATATGCTCTTATTTTTTTTTAAAAAAAATGCATATTTGGGGAAAAAGAAGAAGAAGATGTAACTATAATAACCGGATCATGGCACAGCATACGCATTTGCATTCACATAATCACAGCTACTGCTAACTGTAGCAGCTCACTAGCTCAGATGGCCATATATGATTGTTGTGAATTGGTCGCAATCCTTGGGATGACTAATATGTTTACTATGCACAATCCTGACCCATGCAGACGAATCCTGCTGATGAATTAAAAACATTTGAAAACTGATGACACGCATGGTCACCGGCTCGATCCCGGCCACATGAACAGCGGCCGCTAAATAAGAGAACGAATAGATCACACCGATCGACGATATATACACACCATAAGTTGACTCTGAGAAAAACGTACAAATCTGGAATGGCCTGCTGGTCACACATTCTTCTTAAATCTGCATTGCAGTTCTTACAAGTGATTGTTCTAAAATCATCATCAGATTAAAAACGAAAACTAAAGCAAAGAAAACCTTCATACATTCCTGTTTTTTTTTAAAAAAAACCTTCATACATTCCAAGAACTACTGCAGCCCATATGAATATGATGGCAGTGAAAATTATTATGACAAGGAGCATGCATGCATAAATACACTGGGGAATCAATTAACCCGTGGAAGTGGAACGCCGCCGGCAGGATCTCGACTCCGTGATCCGTCGCGCTACTTACCGACGAAGCTCGATCGCCGTCCAGTTGTGACGACGCAGATCATCACAAGAAGGCCCATGCGCACGCGAACGCCGCGAGCGCAGCAACGACCGTGAGCGGCGCGGCGCGGCCCGGCGCGCTGGCGGGCATGAACCCCGGGTCCTGCGGGTACAGCGGGCCCTTGCCCGGCGGCGTGCTCCCGATCTGGATGTACGCGCCCGGCGGCGGCGGGCACCCGGCCCCGGGGTAGGTCGCGGGCGGCGGAGGGCTGTAGTAGTAGTACGGCGGCGGGGGAGGCAGCGCGGGCGGCGGCGGCGACGGGTACAGCACCGGGCAGTCGGCGCCGACGCAAGGCGAGCACCCACCGCACTTCTTCACCTCCCCCTCGACCGCCGCAGCGGCTGGCGTCGTCGCCGCCGCCGCGATGGCGATGATCGCCAGCGCGAGCACTGATCTTCCTCCCATCACCGGCCAGCCGGCGAGCTGCTGGCTACCTAGCACAACTAGGCTAACACACACTACGCTACGAGCCTACGAGGCTACGATCGAGAAAGGTGTGTGGTGCGGCTGGCCCTCGCAACCGCCCCCTCTTATGATGCGAGTGCGACCTCGAGGCTCCGGTGTACCTATCTACTACTCCCTTTGTTTGCAGGAAGATTAGTTGGGATTCGTTGGATCGGGAGAAGAAGGTAGACTGGCACTGGCAGTGGCAGTAGAACTGGAAAGGATCGGAAGGAATAAGCAGCAGAATTGTACTGTGGTGGTTTGAGAAGGTGTGCACTTCATCGTGGTCGTTGCGGGATGGCCTGGGCCCTGGGGCAGCGAGCGAGACCGAGGCATGAAGGCCGGTGGTTGCTGCTCGAAAGGGATGTGCGATCGGAGCATGTGGCGGCCCGTAAATCGGTGGGGTCCTCTGGCGGGTCAAATTGGCCGGCCACAAGCATGACTACGCGGTCGCGAGCCCCTCCAAGGCAAGGGCGCAAGGCGAGGGGATGCCCGTTCCACGCGGGAGCACCGACGCCGTTGGCGCGGCCGGCGCATGTGCGCCTGCCTGCATCAGCGCGCCCATCCGACTCTGTGCACAAGTAGTGCGTGCGTGACGCGGCGAGCTTGGCTAAGCTAGCGTAGTGGCGAGAGTTGAGGCTCATCATTGAAGTAGGGAGCGGGGTCGCGTAAAGGTGGCTTCACCTGCGTACCAAGTATAATAAAGCGCCATGGGGAGAAGCTTCTGTCTGGTCCGGGCTGTCCTGGGTTGTGCCATGTGAGGGTGGTGACCACTGACCTGATCCCTTTCATCGATCCACTCCTATTCCCGTTGCTTCCTCTGCCACAATACGTACTTCCCACTGCATTTTTGCATCTTGACGTGCAGATTCAACGCATCCAGGTAAGGAAGTGCACACTTTGATTTGTTCCGAAATAACGCTGTTAAATATAGCTGCACAAATCCGAAACATTTTCAATAAAAAACACACACATGTTTCTCACATTTGCTATAGGATGAATATACGCCAGGGCCATTTTGGTTCGTCGTCTAAGGTTGCTAACATTTGCTATAAAATTTTTGCTACACCTGTCTAAAGTTACATCAAAATGTGTTTGTCATACCTAGGCAAGCCTAATAAGAAAAAAAAATCTTGGAATAAAGTCCTTTTTTCAACCTTATCGAGACAAATTAGCTAGGTTCTCTCGTTGTTTTCAAAAGTGTTTTTACATTTTTGTAAGAATAATAAAGTATGGTTTAATCCCTAAAAATCATAGCTAATTTATTTAAACTAAAAAAATGTTGTTTATGTGTTGGTACTCTATTTGGAGCTTATTTACTTTAAATAAATATAATGAGCATGACTACGAAGACTAAAGCAATCAGAACATAAGTAAATATGGGTGTTTGGTTGTACTTCTCCCGTAAGCCATAACCCAGGCTAGTCCAAGCCTGTCTAAGTCCATGGGCGTGTTTGGTTGTCATGTGCTAACTAAGCCTAGATTGTTTAGATCTTATTTATTGCAATATAGGGCTTGTTTGGGACAATTGTCCTACTGAAAAAGTGAATCTGGATCTGGGATTCACCATGGAGCAGCTCCACTAGTGGATCTAGGGAACCGTTTGGGGGTAACACAGTGGTCGGAGGAGGGTCACGCGGGCCTCGCGGGGAGGGGCACGCAGAGCCAAGGAGGGGCATGCAGTGGCTGGAGGAGGGTTGTGGCCTCGCCAAGGAGGGGTACACAGGGCTGGGGAGGGGCTCACGATGAATGCCCCCTGCAATAGACGAGTTCCCTGCCGCTGGAGCCGCTACGGAGACAGCAGGACGAGTTCCTGCTCGCCGGGAGCGGGCGCGACCTCATCGGGGGCAGCAGGCGCGGCCTCTCCGGGGACGGGCGGAGCCTCGCGGTGCTGTGGCCAGGGGCGTGCTCATGGCCTTACCGGAGGCACGGGCGCAGCCTCACCGGTCGCAGTCACGCGGCCGCCCTGGGGGCGGGCGCGGTGAGGGCTAGCCGGCCATGGCGCGGGCGCCGGCGGAGAAGCGGAGTGCGGGATGGAAGGCTCGGGGTGGCGACGGGAAAGAGGATAGAGCTGGTGGAGAGAGCTGGTGGAGCTGTCCCAAACAGGCCCATAGGATGGTGCTCAATACCAAGGCAAGCCATTATGATCTGTACACACTCGTACATGGTTGTTGGAATGGCGAGCTTAGGTCACGGGCAATCAAGTGTACACGGGACAGGGCCAAGATAGGGTAGGCGTTGCATGCCGTGGACAATTAATCCACCGTGATAACATTTTGTTATCTGAGTTAAACATCTTCATGCCTAATAACAAAGGAATACGGAGGGAGTAGTTTGCAAAAATTTAATCTTATTATACTTGCTAGCTACAACCAAACCGCTGTCAAAGCACTTGATCAAACTTGACTAACTTAATTAGGGCAGTAAACTGTGGCAAGTTCCGGCCTAAAATCAAATGACCCCTGAAGCTGGGTCCGTTCGAACACCACAACACGCGCACGCATCATTTTGACCCATTAACGACAAAAAAGCAGGCGAATAAACAGTGCGGAGGAAAGTGAGTTGGCGCAACTGGATCTTGTTAATAACCCAATGATTAATGCTTTTAGGGCAAAAGATTCCAATGATTAGACATGTGTGGTAGGCAAAGCCAGCTAATCAATCCGCATGCGAGCAAACGACTGAAACTTCGATGCTTCACGGACTAATTCGCAAAACCACCTTACCTTAAACTAGAACTGGCAAAAACAGTTTAAGGTAAAATCGACCGTGTGAAACACTTTGGCAAAAGCATATGTTGTTGACATGATCTAAAAACATTTTTTTTTGAAAAAAGAAATCGACCGTAGGACTCAACTCCCTATGTTTTTGGTACTATTTGTCAGTCTCAGGATAGAAAGCGATAGTAATTAGATTTTCTTTTGCCACTATTACTTATTCACGTGCAAAATTGTTAAATCTCAACCGGTTGATTTGGCCTCTCCAATCAACTGATTTTGGGCCATCTAATTTTACGCCGACGGCTAGCAGGGGGCGCCGACGAACAGCCGAGGCACGCGCAGTCAGCGAGGGCCGGCGAGGCAGCAGGTGCGCCCAGCCTCAGAACTCGCGGCCCCGGCCATGGTGGCGCGTGCCCGGGCCGGTGGCCGGCGACGAGGAGGGCCGACGGCTGGCTATGAGGAGGGCGACGAGGAGGGGCTACCCCCGGCGGGATCACCGTTGCTGCTTCTTCTCCGAACTCTGTTTGCGTGCGCATTCGACGGAAAGGAAGAGAAGGGAAGGAAAGTGCGCAGGCGACGGAAGGGAAGGGATAAGGTTGGGGAGGTGGATCCCACCACAATTTGAGAAATTTTGTTTTGAAATTTATGAAAAATTTGTGAATATTTTGAAATATATTTCTCTGGTATCTGCAAATCATAAAAATAATTTGAAAGTATTTCTGAAAAATTTGGCATATATTTGTATTATCTCCAAATTACACCACCGTGTTCAATAAATTACACTGAAGAAATTATTGTAAATCTAGTAATAAGACAATGTAAATATAGCTAAAAGACACTGTAAGTACATGAAAAAAATTCAGTTAACAGGAGGGACGAAAACAACTGAATGCCACCTGGAGAGATCCTTCACATATATAGGGGAAAGACCACGCCATTCTTTCCACTCTCAAATTCTTTTGCTTTTGCTCCGTGCACAGATCTTTTTCTCTATATCTTTCTCCTTTTTCTAATTAAAGATGGCTCATGTGCCAAATTGAGCACGTACAACTGCTACGCACCTTCGTAATCAATCAATTATGCTCATCGGAGCCAAGCGCGGCTGCTGCATACTGCCGTCACTGAGAATCTTTGCTACAATAATCAACTTAGCTAGGCTCCGCGAACAATTGCTTGGACAGAACGGTTGCCCAGCCTCAGCTATCCCAGAAAAATATTTGTCGGTATATATTAGCTCACCTTTTTAATTATTTCCTCTTTAACCTCGAGGCTACAAAAGTCTAAAGTTCAGTATTTGAACCAAAATATAAGGTATTCTGGATTCTCATCATCATCTCTCTTCTTTCTTTTTTTGGCAAGAAAAATATTGAGATTCCTTTTAAACTCAGCGTCATGTGAAATAGGTAGCAAGTAGTTAAGCAAAAATAACAATTGAACTACTCCCTCTATCCCAATTAGTGAAGGGCAAGGTGGTATTTTGCCAAGCTCTTTGTTTTGTCTATAAATTGCTTGTATACCTTATATTCATGACGAGGAGAGTATATATCTGCCGAACCGTGGGCCCACTGATTTTCCAGGAAAAGACCACAAAGTTCTTCGTTTAGCTAAGAAAAATATTTTCTTTTGATTGTTTTTGTCACCTTCTTAATTGTTTCCTCATTGCCCTCAAAGCCCCTAAATATTACCAAACAGTGGGCCCAATATTTTTCCAAGGAAAGACCACAAAGTTCTTGATTTAGTTATGAAAGCCTAATATTTTCTTTTGATTGTTTTTGTTTTACTAGCATATTATTCTCGCTTAACACATACGAAGCACTACTACCGTACAGGTTTTCGCAGGCGGTCACCCTAAGATGAGGTGGTCACATCCCTTAATCTGTTAACGGAGGTTTACTTGGCTAGCTAGGCCGAGCATGATGGACCGGCCCAGGCACAACACTAATAAGCGCGGCCCAAGCACGGCACGGCCCGACTTACATCGTGCCCGTGCCTGGGCCTGCATAGCGGCCCGTAGTGCCGGCCCAGGCACGACACTAATAATGGGCTGGCACGGTGACGGCCCGATCATTCCCAGACGTTGGATCCTCTCTGAGTGAATGGCCACCGTTCGATACAATACATAGAATATATAATTATAAACATGCCCGAACCCTAGATATCATGGATTCCAGGTCCCTGCTCCTTCCATCCACCACTCCTCTACCTCTTTCTTTCCCTGTGACCCTGACGCCTCGAGTGCGCGGTCACGTCAGGCGCGCGGCCCTAGCACGCGCGGGTACTCGGCCTCGGCATCAGCCTCAGGAGCGGCGGCGGCGGCCTTGCGCAGCGGCAGCAGCAGCAACGACGGCCTCGCGGGGCGGCAGTGGTAGCAACGACGGCGGCACGGCAGCGTCGCATGGCACGGTGGCAAGACGGCCTCGGCGCGATGCGGCAGGACGACAGCCCAGCGGCGGCGCGACGACCTTGGGTGCGCGGTTGCGGGCCGACACGGGCACGCGCGGGCTGCCGTGCCTAGCAGCACGGCTAATAGCCTATAGTGTCATGCCTTGGCCAGGATACCAGCACGGCGGCACTACGCGGCACGGCACGGCAGCGCCGTCATGCCCCGTCGTGCCGTGCCTCGCCGTGCCAGTGGCCCTGTTCGCTTCTCTTATAATCCGTACTTTTCAGCTTGTTTTTTAGCCGAACAATGTTTTTCTCTCACAACAAATCAGCTGGAACAGTGTTTCGCTTGTTTTTTCAGCGAAACGAACGGGGCCAGTGTTGTGTCGTGCCTCGACGGCCCGTTTGGCCATGTATAAACGGAGGCAGCCGTACTGAGACTCCCATAGCAATTGCAGCCAGCCAGCAATAGCTGCAGCCTGCAGCCAGCCGTCCAGCAGCTCATTCGAGTTCTGGCAACTCAATTGGCGGGAAAAAATTGTTGAGCAACAAATAGGAGATTCCCAACAAATGGCGGGAACAAATTGCTAATGCAACAAAAATTGTGGAAGGAATTTAGGAATTTTCGTCCGCTGCCCAATTTGGATTTGTCAGTAGCATTCCTTTGAATTTGCATATGGCACATCACATCAATTTTGCCTGCGTCAAAATCTTGAATAGTTGGAGTAACTTATCTCAGACCAAGTTTATCAGTGATGCACCTCCAGATGGCATTGCCTTTATGCAAGGCTAGCTTAAGTACTGTTTGTAAAGTCCTTTTCGATTCTGTTTTCTGACCGCGTGATTCTGCAAAAAGAATAGACAGTGAATCTTATGGTTACAAAGGGAACCAAACCAATAAGGATTGGTAGAAAAGATAGCTACAAACATGCACGGCCTTTGCTAACTGATCATAGATTACTTGGATAGTTTTTTTTAAGGTGCAACCTGTCCATCTAGGTTCAGGTCCTCAACCTCGCATTTTTCTGAATTGATTCTAAGATTTAACAGCGCTATGCTTTCAATGGTAGACGACGTCCCCGTCGACAGCGAGACACCTGTGATGACTTCGTAAATTTCGAGATCTAACAGTTTAGTCATTCGGAGGTGCCCATAAGAATAAGACTTATCTACGTATGTTCATAGGAGGTGATTGTGTGTGCGTATTATGGACATCTACGTTGTACTGTGTAATTCTTAAAAAAAACTTGCACAGCCTTTGAAATATACTCTGTAATATTGGCCGACTATGAACTAGAGAAATGTCTGAACTGGTGTTACTTATTATGTACAGCATGTTTGAGGTTAGAACGTAGTTTTTTTTGCCTACGATTTCCAAAAGCATAAGATTGTGAAATACTGCTGAAGTAGTTCAAGCGAACAAGATCTACTTCAGCAGTACTTTACAGCGAACGAACAATGTTTTTCCCTCGTAACAAATCAGAATACACAAGAAACTTGTCTACGATTTGGACCAGTCGTCATCCTGGTTTGTTATAGAGCAAAGCAAACTAGAAAAATTGTCAAGTACCTTGAGAATAGAATGAATGCTTAACTTGGAGAAATAAGCTAGGCACGCTTGTTCAATATTCAGATGTTGTTTGCTCCAGCTTCACTTCCACCCTTCTCAGAGGATGCAGCTGCACATAATTATAGGGCTCATTTGGTTTCTCACTGCAAACAACAGATCCATGCGTGAATTGATTATGCTAATGGAAGGATAATCGATCTACAGGATCAAAATGCTCTACAAATTTTCATGATTCAGATTTCACAGGTACCCAATGCATGAAAGAACATGATGTATCCAAGAAGCGTACCCAATATCTGGTTTTCGCCACAAAATATCAAGGATATGTCAGTTACAAAGCTTCCGTTTGCAATACGTATCCACCGTTCCTTATTATGAAGTGGAGCTCACCGCAAGATTCGACGCATCGATCCTTCCTACGGCAGAGGAGGGCACACAACAGTTCAGCATCGATCCTCCCATACCATACGGATCGGAATAGCTAGGGCACACAACTGTTCAGCGGTGACAACGGCGGCGCTGCCCCTGGAAGCACAAACGGCGCAACCTCCCTCCGATCCGTCGTCCGCCGCTGCCTACCCACGGTGGGTGATGCTCCAGCAGGACATGGAGGTCGAGGCCGAGGGCTCCTCTTGCTCCACGTCCGGCGCGAGCAAGACACTGGCGGCCGCCCGAACCAGCACCAGCCACCTGATCCAAGTCTCCCTCCGCCTCACAGAGCCCCCAGGGCTTTCGTGCGTCTGCCTTCAGATTCCTGACGGCCTTGATGCGAAGTATTCTAGGGTCGTCGCGGCGCATGGCGACTCCGTGCTCATCGAGGTTCCACATGGCCACACGATAGACCACTTCGTGTACAGCGCAGGCGCCGCCGCCGCTGACCCCCCACGGCCGCCGTCGATGTCTTTGCTCCCGCCTTTCCGTCAAGGTCGTCCCACCGGCCTCGTGCGCCGTGGCGTGGACCTGGTCGTGGTAGCGCAGCTCGCGAGTGTGTCGGCGGGACCGGACACGCCAGAGCTGATGAGGGAGTCCGACCTCTGCCTGTTCCGTTCTGGTGACTGGTGAGTGGAGCGTCAAGCGTCTGCAGATCAGGTTCCGCGACGCCAGTGAAGTGCCAGGAGAGTTTCCTTCGTTGTGGAACGCCATCGTCCCTGTCGGCGACAGGCTACTCTGCTGGGTCGACATATGGCATGTCGGCGTCGTGCTCTGCGACGTGTTCAAGGAGACACACAGACTGCAGTATCTACGGCTCCCCTGGGAGAACATAGAGGGCCCGCCATCAAACCGGAACGTGTGTGCCACTGCTGGCGGCGACGCGCTCAAGTTCGTCAACATCTTCCCCCGCTGCTGCTGTGGAGGCGCCGGTGCCTCCAGCTGCGAACGTTCTTGTTAGCAGGAGGCAGGGAAGGGAAGAATTGGGGTAGGAATCAGACGAACAACATAGCAATAGGTGAAGAATGGGATCGAGGCAGGGAGAGTGCTTAGCGAGTTTAGGGATTTGGTTTACAAGTTTCTAAATGAATCCTCTCTTCTCACTTTGTGACTCATGTACTCGTTACACGGGCACTCGTCCAGTTACGTGCTCGCAGGCACCTTCACGCCCATTCTTTCCCAGCTAGGCGCACATTAGCCTTCTTGACGTGAGAGCTGGTTCGCAGCCCATGGGCTTCAGTGCTTGGAGGACTCGTAGATGGGCTGCTGCTGACATTCCCCGAGGTTTGAGAACCTGCTTGTCCCCAAGCAGGAGTGCGCGGAAGGACTGGCGAAGGTGGAGCAGGTTTTCCTAGGTTGCCATGTCAGCTGACCACCCAGACCAACGGACGAGTCCTTGCTCCACAGAACCAGTAGCAGTGGGAACCACACGAGTCTGCAATATCTCCAGAGGAACTCGAGGAAGTTCAGTATCAGTTGGCAGAGGGGGAAACCGGGGTACCTGGGAGTACAGTTGCTTTGAGTTGAGAAACGTGAAAAACCGGATGAATGGATGTCGTCGGGGGCAGCTCCAACTTGTAGGCAACAGAACCAACGCGAGCAGTGATATGGAAGGGTCCATAAAACTTGAAGGAGAGTTTCTGGTTGGTGCGAGGGGCCAAAGTTGACTGCGCATAAGGTTGGATCTTCAAGAACACCATGTTGCCCACTTTGAATTGTCGTTCCGAACGATTATTGTCGGCCTGTCGCTTCATACGCTCCTTGGCGCGAGCAAGATGTTGTCGGATCAAGTCAGTCACCACCTGACGATCCTGAAGCCAGGTTGAGAGCTCGGGCACCACGACATCATCCAGAACAGAAATCCCAAAATGGTGAGGAGGATACCCATATAAAGCTTCAAAGGGCGAGTAGCCAGTAGCAGAGTGGGGAGAGGCGTTATACCAAAATTCCGCCAAGGCGATCCATGAAGACCATTTGGAGGGGCAGACATTCACAAAGCAGCAAAGGAATGTCTCCATAGACTGGTTGAGACGTTCAGTTTGACCATCGGATTGAGGATGGTAGCTAGAACTCATCTGGAGCGAAACATCAGCTAGACGGAACAGTTCTTTCCAGAAGTGGCTTGTGAAGACACGGTCACGGTCTGAGATGATTGCCGAAGGTAAGCCATGTAAGCGGTAGATGTTATTGAGGAATACCTTGGCGACACCAGCTGCTGTGAACGGATGTAGCAATGGCAGGAAGTGACCGTACTTGGTGAAGGAATCAACGACCACAAAGATGCAGTTAGCATTGCCTGAACGGGGCAAACCCTCCACGAAATCCAAGGAGATAGTTTGCCAAGCAGAAGCCGGAACAGGCAGCGGCTGAAGTAGTCTGGGCAGACGAGAGCGATCGGGCTTGGCTTGCTGACAAGTGATACAGGAGCGGACAAATGAGTGTACTGCAGATTTCATACCATACCAATAAAAGAGCTACTTCAGGCGCAAGTACGTAGCTGGAAAACCCGAATGGCCACCGAGTACACTGGAATGGAGAGCATGTAGAATCTTCTGTTGTAGAGAAGGATTATCACCAATCCAAATACAGTAACCATAACGAATAATACCGTCACGTAATGAGAAACCACAGAGGGCCTGGGGATCCACTGCCAACTTTGCCAACATCTCAGCTGTTGTGGGATCTTTGGTATAACCCGATAACACCTCCTGGATCCATTGTGGTGTGACCACAGAGATTGCTGCACAAATAGATTCAGGGGAAGGCCGACGAGATAGCGCATTAGCAACTCTGTTAGAGGCACCCGGTTTGTATACAATACGGAATTGGAGGCCAACCAATTTGGAGAACAGCTTTTGTTGCCACGGGGTGTGCAGCCGCTGATCAGTTAGTTGTACCAAACTCTGCTGATCAGTATAGATAATGAACTCAGCTAGCTGAAGGTAAGGCCTCCACTGCTGTACTGCCATTAGCAAGGCCAAATATTCCTTTTCGTATGTGCTCAAGCCACGGGTATGGGGACCGAGTGCTTTGCTAAGGAATGCCAAGGGATGACCATCTTGAGTTAAGACAGCGCCAATGCCTGTAGCACTTGCATCAGTTTCAATGCTGAAAGGTCAAGCAAAGTTCGGCAAGGCGAGGACAGGTGATGTACTGAGAGCTGTTTTTAGCGCCTGAAATGACTGCTCATGAGAAGGCAACCACTGAAACATTGTGTTTTTCCGAAGGAGCTCAGTGAGAGGTTTAGCTAATATCCCAAAATGCCTCACAAATTTATGGTAATAACCTGCAAGGCCAAGAAATCCCCTCAATTCCTTTGGTGTCAGCCAGTTCACAACAGCTGAAACCTTCGCTGGGTCAGTAGCCACCCCAGACGCAGAAATCACATGACCCAGGTATGCAATGCTTTGTTGTGCAAAGTCACATTAAGATAACTTGATTTTCCAATCATGTACGTGCAGTTGCTGAAAAACCAGGTGCAGGTGCTCAATGTGTTCTTCATAAGAGCGGCTATAGATTAAGATATCATCGAAAAAGACCAACACAAATTTCCGAAGGAAAGGAGCAAGTGTGGAGTTCATAGCATCCTGAAACATTCATGGAGCTCCCTGTGAGTCCAAAAGGCATTACACAGAACTCGAAATGACCAAAGTGTGTCTGAAATGCTGTTTTAAATTCTTCCCCAGGTTTGAGAAGGATCTGATGAAATCCAGAGCGCAAATCCAATTTGGAAAACCAAGTAGCACCGCCCAATTCATCCAACAACTCATCAATGATAGGGACTGGGTACTTGCCTTTCACAGTGATGGCATTGAGTTGGTGGTAATCGATGCAAAACCGCCATGAGTTGTCTTTCTTCTTTACCAATAACACTAGAGAAGAGAAAGGGTTGGAACTCTTCTGAATGATGCCTGATTGTAGCATCTCCTGCACCTGCTTTTCCACTTCATCCTTGATGGTTGGAGACAATCTATAAGGTCGAGAGTAGACCGGTGCTGCTCCGGGAATCAACGGAATAGAATGGTCGCAGCTGCGTGAAGGAGGCAGCTGGTCTGGTGGCTCAAATAACCCAGAATAATGCTGCACCAATTGCTGAATTTCTGGAGGCCAGCTCGACTGATTAGATAGTTGCTGAGACTCAGAGGAACACATATGAAGGACTGCCCGGCAGGTAAGTCAGGAAGGATACCAATCAGCTGAACAGTAGCACCTTGATGTTGAACCTGGATCCATTTCTGACCCCAGTGAATTTCTATTGGACTATGAGCTTCTAACCACTCCAGCCCAAATATCATATCATAAGTTGACAGTGGTAGCACTTTAAGGTCAGAAGAAAACTGACAATCTTGGATAGACCAAACAGCTATTACAGCAGCTGTTGGTGAAGGAATCAACGACCACAAAGATGCAGTTAGCATTGCCTGAACGGGGCAAACCCTCCACGAAATCCAAGGAGATAGTTTGCCAAGCAGAAGCCGGAACAGGCAGCGGCTGAAGTAGTCTGGGCAGACGAGAGCGATCGGGCTTGGCTTGCTGACAAGTGATACAGGAGCGGACAAATGAGTGTACTGCAGATTTCATACCATACCAATAAAAGAGCTACTTCAGGCGCAAGTACGTAGCTGGAAAACCCGAATGGCCACCGAGTACACTGGAATGGAGAGCATGTAGAATCTTCTGTTGTAGAGAAGGATTATCACCAATCCAAATACAGTAACCATAACGAATAATACCGTCACGTAATGAGAAACCACAGAGGGCCTGGGGATCCACTGCCAACTTTGCCAACATCTCAGCTGTTGTGGGATCTTTGGTATAACCCGATAACACCTCCTGGATCCATTGTGGTGTGACCACAGAGATTGCTGCACAAATAGATTCAGGGGAAGGCCGACGAGATAGCGCATTAGCAACTCTGTTAGAGGCACCCGGTTTGTATACAATACGGAATTGGAGGCCAACCAATTTGGAGAACAGCTTTTGTTGCCACGGGGTGTGCAGCCGCTGATCAGTTAGTTGTACCAAACTCTGCTGATCAGTATAGATAATGAACTCAGCTAGCTGAAGGTAAGGCCTCCACTGCTGTACTGCCATTAGCAAGGCCAAATATTCCTTTTCGTATGTGCTCAAGCCACGGGTATGGGGACCGAGTGCTTTGCTAAGGAATGCCAAGGGATGACCATCTTGAGTTAAGACAGCGCCAATGCCTGTAGCACTTGCATCAGTTTCAATGCTGAAAGGTCAAGCAAAGTTCGGCAAGGCGAGGACAGGTGATGTACTGAGAGCTGTTTTTAGCGCCTGAAATGACTGCTCATGAGAAGGCAACCACTGAAACATTGTGTTTTTCCGAAGGAGCTCAGTGAGAGGTTTAGCTAATATCCCAAAATGCCTCACAAATTTATGGTAATAACCTGCAAGGCCAAGAAATCCCCTCAATTCCTTTGGTGTCAGCCAGTTCACAACAGCTGAAACCTTCGCTGGGTCAGTAGCCACCCCAGACGCAGAAATCACATGACCCAGGTATGCAATGCTTTGTTGTGCAAAGTCACATTAAGATAACTTGATTTTCCAATCATGTACGTGCAGTTGCTGAAAAACCAGGTGCAGGTGCTCAATGTGTTCTTCATAAGAGCGGCTATAGATTAAGATATCATCGAAAAAGACCAACACAAATTTCCGAAGGAAAGGAGCAAGTGTGGAGTTCATAGCATCCTGAAACATTCATGGAGCTCCCGTGAGTCCAAAAGGCATTACACAGAACTCGAAATGACCAAAGTGTGTCTGAAATGCTGTTTTAAATTCTTCCCCAGGTTTGAGAAGGATCTGATGAAATCCAGAGCGCAAATCCAATTTGGAAAACCAAGTAGCACCGCCCAATTCATCCAACAACTCATCAATGATAGGGACTGGGTACTTGCCTTTCACAGTGATGGCATTGAGTTGGTGGTAATCGATGCAAAACCGCCATGAGTTGTCTTTCTTCTTTACCAATAACACTAGAGAAGAGAAAGGGTTGGAACTCTTCTGAATGATGCCTGATTGTAGCATCTCCTGCACCTGCTTTTCCACTTCATCCTTGATGGTTGGAGACAATCTATAAGGTCGAGAGTAGACCGGTGCTGCTCCGGGAATCAACGGAATAGAATGGTCGCAGCTGCGTGAAGGAGGCAGCTGGTCTGGTGGCTCAAATAACCCAGAATAATGCTGCACCAATTGCTGAATTTCTGGAGGCCAGCTCGACTGATTAGATAGTTGCTGAGACTCAGAGGAACACATATGAAGGACTGCCCGGCAGGTAAGTCAGGAAGGATACCAATCAGCTGAACAGTAGCACCTTGATGTTGAACCTGGATCCATTTCTGACCCCAGTGAATTTCTATTGGACTATGAGCTTCTAACCACTCCAGCCCAAATATCATATCATAAGTTGACAGTGGTAGCACTTTAAGGTCAGAAGAAAACTGACAATCTTGGATAGACCAAACAGCTATTACAGCGTGACCACCAATGCCCGCAATCTTGGATAGACCGTATGCTCCAAAGGCGCTGCCCCTACCTCCTCCTCCACCACGCCTCGCCCTGCCGGGTCCCAAGCCCAAGCCGGCGGCTGAGGCTGTGCGTGCCCCTACAACTGAAGATCGCTGGGCCGCTCTACGCGCTACCAAACGTGCACAAGGCCTCTACATGAGTTGTTGGATCCAAGCATAGTGGGGAACAAAGCCACCCCTATTACAGCTGCGACTGATAGTGACATGAACAACTGATCTTGAGCAGGTTCAGATAAAACAACTTCTGGAAACATTGTCACTTTATTTTAATGACATTTGGTGTATTTTTTAACTTTGGTAATCAAAATACATATATTTTGCACCTTAATGGACTATTTTACTGTTCTAGCCTTACGTATCCTTTGCATGAGTCGGATATTTTATTTCGTTTCATCTTCCGACGTTTCATCGAGAGCGGCCCAGCGATCGTCAGTTGTAGGGGCAATCCTCCTCAGCCGCCGGCTTGGGCCATGGACCCGGCGAGGGCGAGGCCCACCGGAGGAGGAGGTAGGGCAGCGCCACCTCTGCCCATACGGCGCTGCCCCACCCACTGGATTCTCCCATCTCCTGAGTTCTCTCTGCTTTGCGGGATCAGCGACCTCCTCCTGCAATTTGGCGAGAAGGCAAGCAGTATCCAAATCCTTGGGACTCTCTCTTCAGTCTCACACACAAATGATTATTTGATCTCATTACCTAAACATTTTGTTGCAGATACAGATCCGTTAGGACCCATAAGCATTGGGGATCTGTTGGATTACAGAGCTGATGTGGATATTCCTAACCACACGTGTACAGGTATGTGTCTTCCGTTATGAAGAGCTGTTTCACACTGAGCATTGGTTCCCCAACATCACGCTGTAAAAAAAGGAATAGAAGGTGGGTAAACAGTTTTGACTTTGATCTGATTGAGCCATGTCTGCAATTGCAACCGGCCTCCATGATTTTGGGAGAACAATTAATTTGTTAATAAATCAGTTACATCTAAATGGCTTCTCATTGTAGTACAAGGTAATAGTACTCGTCGCCTTTTGCCAATCAGGTGTTTGAACTTTATTCTTTTAGCAAACATCCTGACTCACAGTGGAGCATTACCAACGGTAATAAACTAGAACTATAAGGGAATGATAAATTCATGTTCTGAAAAGATTCTTGATGACATCATTTTGCGTATTCAGTTGATACACATGTAGAGATGATGTCTTATGTTGCAAGCTCTCCAAATTAAGTCTGTGTTTTTTGCATGCACTGTTTTCTTCATATTTCTATCTGGTGGGTTATATTAATGTTGTTTCCAAGTTGGTCACAATTGGATATATTCATTCGCTTATGGCTTCATAGCTTTTGAAAACACAGATAATTGGACTTGGTTTATGGAACAATTAAAGAAGGTAATAGGTGATCCTCCACTGCTTGTTGTTTGTTCTAATGCTTGCAAGGGCTTGGAGAATGCAGTGAAGAATGTATTCCCAAATGCAGAGCAAAGAGAATGCTTTTATCATCTTGTCAGAAATTTCAAGAAGAGATTTAGAGGGTTTAGCCAGATATCCTGCGGCAAGGGCTTACAGAGAAGACATATTCTATGATAATATAGCAAAAATGGTAAGTGAATCAGCACAAGCAGTGAAATGGTTACAGATCAATCATAAGTTATTATGGTATAGGAAGTTATTATGGTATAGGTGTGGTTTCAATCTAGAAATTAAGTGTGACTACATAACTAGTAATATTGCTGAGTCATTTAATAACTGGATTAGAGACCATAAAGACTTACCTGTGCAGCAAGCTTGCGATGTTATTAGGAGAGGGCACATCTTCACAAACCGACAATACTTGTCCCATGAGGATACCTACAACGACATCACCAAAATAGATGACTCCGAAGAGAAAGCTACACATTGGATGAATTATTTTAGCTATGATGAGATGTAAACTCATGATTTATTTAATATGACTTGAATCTTGTTTGGAACAATATTATGATGTGAGATGAATTCATGTATATTTAATATTGTGTTTTATGTCCAGAATTTTACTCTAATTTTCTTGAATTCTTTACTATATTTTTGTGAATTTTAATAATATGTGATATACCCCGGCGGCAGCGGCAAACCTGCAAGCCAGCCAGGCCAGGCGGCGGCGGCAGCAGCCAGCCAGCCTGCCCACGCACCGGTCAGACGAAACGTCGGAAGATGAAGATGAAACGAAACGTGGTGACGAGCTTGGCTGTGGTGACGAGGATGAGTAAAGGTATTTATGTATTTTTGGTTTTATATTTCAAGAGGAAAAAGAAAGTATATGACATAGGCACGATGTCATGATGCCGTCATCAAGCTAACATCAGGGCAGGGCACGGAGCACGCGGCGGCTGCGGCTCAGCCGCGCTCAGGCTCTCAGCCAGAGCTTGCCGGCGCTGTGCGGCGAGCTGCACCGCCACCTCCTCCTCGTCGGAGTCACCATCGAAAGCATCGTCGTCGGAGTCAAGCGAGACGAGCTTGTGGCCACGGCGAGGAGGAAGAGCGGCAACGAGCGCGTACCGCCGTGGGTGCTCGTCGCGCTCTCGCGCGTTGGGTAGCAGCCAGCCAGCCTACCCAGGCTAGGCGGCGGCGGCAGCAGCCAGCCAGCCCACGCACAAGGGCAATACGGTCCTCCTAGGGCAAAATACATGTATTTAAAATGATAAAAATGATTAAAAGGACAAAACGTTATGTAAAACAAAGTGCCAACGTTTCAAATGTTGTTTTAGCGAAGTCGACGATTAAAATTCTATAATAACGAAGCTCATCGTTTCGTGTCCTATAATAACAATTTTCTCACTTCTGATCGTGCTCGGTGAAGCGTTTGTTGAGCTCGTCGAGGATGATTCTGGTTTCTGGGTTCATGACGCCGAGGCGATGTTAGCAGCGAGTGAAGTGATCGTGGGCTAGAGGTTGGGGAGGATCCAGATCGAGGCACCCACAAGCCGATTCGAAGCGTCGATTGGAATTACAGCGTTCCAAATCGCTATCAGCAGCTCACTGCTAGCGACTGGATCGAGCCGACCAGATCCGTTGCCAAATCGACCGATGGAGTTCGTGCGCTCGAGCAGAAACCTCCCAGAAATCGGTGTCTCCGATACCAATTTGTTAGCAGGAGGCAGGGAAGGGAAGAATTGGGGGTAGGAATCAGACGAACAGCATAGCAATAGGCGAAGAAGGGGATCGAGGCAGGAAGAGTGCTTAGCGAGTTTAGGGACTTGGTTTACAAGTTTCTGAATGAATCCTCTCTTCTCACTCTGTGACTCATATACTCGTTACACACTCTGTGACTCGTATACTCGTTACACGGGCACTCGCCCAGTTACGCTCGCAGGCACCTTCACGCCCATTCTTTCCCAGCCAGGCACACATTGGGATTCTAGACGCGAGAGCTGGTCCGCAGCCCATGGGCTTCAGTGCTTGGAGGACTCGTAGATGGGCTGCTGTTGACAGTTCTTGTCACGCCTACACAATCCAAACCTGGACGATGAGGATGGGCAATGACGATATGGAGTGGGTGAAGGATGGCATGGTCGACTCCTCTGAGCTCTGGGCCCTCGACACCTACAAGGGCCTCCAGTGCTTCCCACTCGACCACCTCGTCGTAAGCTTGGACGAACCTGAGGTCATCTGCTTCTGGTTGCACGAGCCCCCAGAGGACGGCTACTGGAGCTATAGAGACAGGACGGTACAAGTGCTGATGGTCAACACGAGAAGCAAAACAATACATTCTGTCTCACGCTACGAAGATGGGTTGTGGCACAGGGGAGATGGACTAATCCCTAGCAACGTATCATATTTCTTCAATTCTTATCTAGGTAGTGGTAGTGATGCTACATTCACAGGACAAAGGCAGGAGGACATTGAGAGGCCACCGCCGGTCATCGTTGACGAGCAGCTAAAAAGAGAAGATGACGATGGCAGCAATTCAACAAAACTTGCTTCGTTCGCTGAGTCTTCTGTGCAAGCATCAGAGATCTTTGAGGCATTTCAGGAGATACCTAGGTATGGATTGGATCATGATGAGCTAAAAGTGTATAGAATTCTTAACCATGACAACTGCCGCCGGTTCAGATCTCTTTTAAGGTTACCAAAGAATCTGAGGAAGGATTGGTTGTTGATGGAGATTAAGGCGAGCGAAGATTGATCTGTCAGCACTTCGTTAATTTATCCCCATAGATTGTTCCTAGGGTTCGACAAGTTGTGTGTGAAGTACATGGAGGTACTGCTTTTGTCTCAATATCAACTAGGAATCGTTCTGTTATGTGTGATTTATTTTTGTGCTAGCATTCTGAATTGTGATCATTTATTAATTGATGTGTTTGTCGAACACTACCTAGCATTTTATATAGCATATGTATCCGCGAACATACATCTTATAATTCAGTTGCAACACAATGCCTGTAACTTTTCCTTCCCACTTGACATATATCGACAAGACGACAATACATTCTTTTTTTTGGAAATTTTCAGTTTTCAATACAGGTCCAATATAAGTGATTAGAAGTTGCTTCTGCCAAGTGCATGATATGACTCAGCTAATATGCTTGAAGCTCAATATCATATGTTGTTTCAGTTACCTATGTATGCCGAATGCCATTTCCACATCAAAATAGTCCTTGTCATGTTAGTCCCGCTATACAAAGTTATGCAGGAACTATATGAATTTTTTTAGAAAGACGGCAAAAGCTTTGCCGAATTTTTATTAGACGAAAAAGGCGAAAAAGAGATATTTACAGAAAATTACGTGGAGAAAAATTTCCGAACTACTATGGCCTGAAAGCTAACAACTACGGCGCACAGCCCAACTAAACCGCCCCTATAAACAACTTATACAAGAAAACCAAAAAGTGCTACAACATCGAAGTTACCACAAACAAACCAAAAAAGCTATCACTCCCCATCGACAATGGGTGGTGTTGCCAACTGAAACTGTTGAATATCATCCTTGCATATATATATAGAGAGAGACTTGTCCTGGTTGTAACGATTTTTGTTGAAAGGTTCTTCTATTTCGCTCCTTTCAAATGTTCTACCAAAAATAGATCATGATTCCATCTATCCTTCACCTTTGTCTTCTGTGGAACTTTGAGCGTCATTTATGCCAGTAACTGTGAAGCAATCCGATCCATTCATTTCCACCGAGTCGAGCACCGTTAGATGTAGCCATTGTTTGAGATAGGATCAGACCTGCTTCGAGAAGGGGCAATCTTTGCAAAGGTGAGTTGGCATCTTTGGATAAACTCCACATAGGCTGCAAATAGGGTCGTGTGCCCAGTTTTGTTTCATTAAGTTGTTGGCGGTGAGTATCTTCTTATGCAGTAGGGTCCAAGTAAAAAACCAGCCTCTAGGTTCTGCTCTTGCCCTCCAAATCGGCGTTATTCTCAATTTGCTGAAGGTGCCTTCAAATTGGATTTGGTATGCACTCTTAGTAGTGTACTCCCCATCGTTTGTCCAACGCCAACGTATGGAATCATCACAGTTTTCTTGTAAATTGACTACACATACTTTTTTCCATAGCACCACATACTCTTGAATTTCTTGTGCCGTCTGAATGGGCATGATATGCAAGATCCATCTGTTATCTTGTAGAGCCTTTTGGACAGAAATCGTTTTCCTCTTTGCCTTCTGGAATAGAGATGGCGTGAGGTTCTTTGCAGTAGCGCCATCAATCCACGATGATGTCCAGAATTGTGTGGTTTTCCCATCTCCTAAAGCGACTACCGTGGACGCCGCGAACAGGGTCACGGTCCCTGCGGTGGCACGGCAGGTCCAGGCCGTTCCACACACGTTCCTTGTGTTTCCACTGAAACCAAAGCCATTGCAATCTTAGCACCATCTTGAAACATTCTAGGTCTAGGATTCCCAATCCAACTCTTTCTTTTGGTCGGCAAGTCGTTGGCCAATTTACTAGGGAGTGTCCACCGTACACCTTGTCTGGGTTTTCCCCTCTCCATAGAAATCCTTGCCGCAAGCGATCAATCTTTTTTATTAGCCATTTATGTTATGGGAAAGCCGTCATAGGGTAGATGGGTTGAGCTGTTAAAACTGTCTTTACTAAACTCTCCCTGCCCGTCGTGGAGAGGAGCCTTCCTTTCCAACCGGGTAGCTTTGCCCCTATCTTGTCAATCAAAGGTTGAACTTCAATTTTGTGCAGCTTATGAACGTGTAGGGGAAGACCAAGGTATTTGCTAGGGAATTTGCATATCTTTCATGGGAAGTTGCAAAGAAGATGTTTGACGACATTGTTGTCCAAGCGGATAGGGAATATCTCTGTCTTTGAAATGTTTATTTTGAGCCCTGAACATTCTCCAAAGAAGGTTAATATTCTGTGTAGTCGGTGTAGCTCCAAGGCTGAAGGGTCTGCGAAGATGGCCGCGTCATCAGCATAGAGGGAGCAACGTAGGTTTGCTGCCTTTGGGAGGATTGGCTTTAGAATTCCTTTTTGAGCTGCGGCCTCGATGATACGTTGCAGCGGATCTATAGCCAATATAAACCTCCTTGTCTTAGGAACGAGCATGATTAATTCCCTAAGTTGGCTGTCCATTAACTAGGATTTAGATGCAGTTCCACGTAAAGATGCTATCGAATCTCTCTATTTTAAACTAAAGCCCAACGCCTCCATGACCTCAAGCAGAAAGCTCCATCCGATGGAGTCAAAGGCCTTTGACATATCTAACTTGATGAATAGTGCTAGCTTCTTCTTTTTGTGAAGTAATTGTATGACTCTTTGTGCATATATGAAATTGTCATGTATGCATCTTTTCTTAATGAAAGGTGTTCTATGCATTGGACACTAAAGAGTTCATGTGAGGGGCAAGTTGGTTCCCTAGGATTTTTGTGATAATCTTGATGACGCTATTGATTTGGCTAATCAGCCTGAAGTCCAATACTTGTGATGCTACTTGGGGCACTAATACAATATTTGCCTCGTTGATGAGATTTAGTCTTGCTATTCGGTGGCAGTAGAAACTCAAAATAGCCTGGACTATATCATCCTTTACCACTGTCCATCATTTCTTGTAGAACATTCCGATAAACCCATCCGGTCCCGGTGCTTTTTCCTTAGGCATTTCCTTTACGACCGTTGCAATTTCCTCCTCTGTAGAAGGAGCATCCAGCTCACTTAGGTCATGGGCAACATATCAGGTGCAAACCAACCAACCTGTGCAAACTTGGAAACTATCAATCAGGACCACTAGATGCTGATCCAATGGATAGGGTGAGGGGGCTTAAGCGCAAAAAAAAAGGCCGGCGGGTGGGGGGCTTAAGTGCAAAAAAATCCCACCTCTCACCCCATCCATTGGATCAGCATTTAGTGGTCCTGATTGGTAGTTTCCAAGTTTGCACAGGTTGGTTGGTTTGCACCTGATACGTTGCCTCATGTACATATTCTAGCTCTCGCCAATTAATGGCCTTTGTTCTTGAGGACGATGATCCCAAAATATGGGAGAAGTGGCTATGCACCAGTTTTGATTTTTCATTTTGTGAGAATACTGTCCCCGTGTGATTGCTTAGAGAGGTTATGAAAGTTCTTTTTCTTCTCGCATTTGCATGTAATTGGAAGAATCGCGTATTTGTATCTCCTTTTCGCTTGAGCTTGTTTGGCTTATAAGCCGTACTTTTTCAGCCAACGAACAGTATTTTTCTCTCACACCAAATCAACCAATAGTACTTTCAGTCATAGCTTATCAGTCAAACAAGCCCAAACGAACAGGGCGTAAATCCAAGTTAGTCTTGAGTGCTGCGTGCCCTAGTTTTTTGCATTGTTGTAATTCCCAACGCTTTTACTTTTCGATAATTCTTGAAATAGGTTGTCCGTCCACCCAGACGCTCCCGCTGGTGGATCGATGCCAGCCCAAATGACCCTCTCTTATCTGCTCATGGCCAGAGTTTCTAAAAAAATCACTGTACCACAGCAGAGCTTGGCCGCACACAACGCACGCTCCACCCGCGCAGCTCACGACGACCGGCCAAGGAGGAGGCCGCCCGCACTCATCCCGTGCACGCCGTGGCAGCCCGCGCTCATCTCGGGTGGGGCGGAGGCTGCCCAGCTCGCCGCAGACGGGGTGGAGCTCACCCGCGTTCAGCTCACGGCAGCCCAGACGGAGCCTGTCTGCGCACATCTCTCGCTCTGCCTGCCCAGCTCGCCGTGGCTGGGGCGGAACTCGCGACAGTTGGAATGGAACTCGCCCACGCACAGCTTGCGACGGCCGGGATGGAACTCACCCACGCACAGCTCGCAGCGGACCTCACCCCGCACACATCTCGCGCTCCACCCTCATAGTGTGAAGACCCGCCATGGCCTTCTCCACCGGATCTGCCGTGGCCTTCTGAAAGTGCATCTAGTCTTTTAGTGGGTTTTGGATGATTGAATGACAACGTGATTAAAGGTCCAACCCGTTTGCTAAGTGTGGACAGGTAATATGTTATCTCACAGGTACTTAATGAAAGCCAAAATGATGTGTTGTTGTATAAACAATCCAGTTAAAGCACAAGACAACAATGCAAATGGAATTCATACAAAGGCTTATTTATTGTGAGATTTTCATGTACTATGTGAAAGCAAGCCCAGTAAAAAAATTAGTTGATGAGACATGGGGGATTGCATATAGAATAGTCTCATATTTGAAGCTTGCTAAATTAAAATGAAAAAGATAACAATACAAATGAATGGATGATTCAACACAAGATGTGACTTGATGGCTTGAGATGGTGAAGATAGCAAGAAAAGACTTCAAGGTACTAAGCAAGGGTGAAGAGCAAGCGACGGCTTGGCAGCCGAAGAACCTAGGTAGGGTGAAGAAGAAAGTACTTGCATTTAAGTTGAGGTACTAATCATGCTATGATGGTCATATTGATGTGGAGGATCAAATCTATAGTGGACAAAGTGTTGGAAGTGACTTGATGCATTTAGAGTTATTCATATTTAATGAATGGAATCAAGTCACGTGCTCAAGATGGCTATGCTCAAGTGATAAAGATCAAAGTTGACATATTGGCACCCTCACTTGATGAAGATTGGAATACACGGCTTCGGTTGAAAGAGATCAACTCAAAAGGTTTAAATTCGTTATACTCTTTAAATTTGAGTTAATAGGAATGTCGTACTATTAAGAGAGATGCATCATGTTGATAGATAATGTTTCATAAGTGCTCAAGCCAACCCATGTGAGTTTTGGGTGTTCGAGAGACAAAAGAGCTAACCTATATTTTGCTGGTCTGGCAATACCCGGACGTGTCCGGTATTTACCCAGCAATGGTAAAGTTATTGTTCTCGGGTTGGTTCGTCGGGAGTTCCAACGTGAGTCGGGAGTTCCGACGGTTGAGAGTTCCGACAATGGTTGGGAGTTCGACGTCTCGCGCTTAAACTGACTTGGAGAGTTCACTGTCCTGGTCATGCCGGACGTGTCCGGTATTCATGCCGGACGTATCCAGTATGGACGGCCAGAGGCCAACGGCTAGTTTTCAAATGCCTTGAGGGTCGGGAGTTCCGACGGTCGGGAGTTCGGCATGCGCTGGGAGTTCCGACACCTCACATACTTTAACTCAGTTACCATGGTTTTCAAATGTGCTGAGGGTCGGAAGTTCGACATTTATTGGGAGTTTCGACGCCTCACAACGTCACTATAACTCAGTTACCGTTGGCGTAGTGTAAGTCATATACCGGACGTGTCCGGTATGGCAATGGCTATAAAACGACTAGTTTTTCCAAGGGGGTTATAAATACCCCCAAGCCTCCACCTTTGGAGACCGCTGATTCTGCTGATACATATACATGTTTTTTAGCCTTGCCAACTTTCCTAAACCCTCTCTTAGTGAGTGTGTGATCCAAATCGCAAAATTCATTTGTGGGATAAGAGAGAATTTGAAAAAGAGAGCAAGCCACCACTTGAGCACTTATGCATATTGTCAATCTCGTGATTTGCATTTGTTACTCTTAGACTCTTCGATCCTAGATGGCTAGGCATCACCGGAGAGCACCCGAGAGATTGTGGTGTGCCTCGAGAAAGTTTGTAACGGTCGATTCCGCCACCTCGGAATCAACTAGTGGAAGGAGGAAAATGAGTTGGAAAAGACTCCGGCTAGAGTGACCTTCGTGGTACCCTCTAGGGCTGACCTTCGCTGGATCGCCCGTAGCCCCCTCAACGGAGAGCAGGACTCGAACGAGTCCGAACTTCGGTAAAACAAATATCGTGTCTCAATTCGCATTTCATTCGATATTTGTGTTGCTCTAGCTCTTGTGCAGGTTCTCTGTGTATATTGTCATCTCCAGTAGATACCTACAGTTTGATTTGAAGATAGAAATCGAAAGGAGCAAGTTTGGGGCTGCTCTGCAGAAACCGTGCATACCGGACACGTCCGGTATTTCCTGTCTATGCAGAATATATTTATTCTCTGTTCTAACTTTGTGTTGCAGGGTTGTAGCTTTTATATATATTCTTTATACCTTGTATACTCTGTGTCTAACTTGTGAGGGGTGGTATTACTCTTTATTTGGAGTTTCTATTTTAGAATCCCCCTTTACTAATCATTTCCGCATTTAAAGGTGCTAATTTTCAGAAATGCCTATTCACCCCCTCTTTAGGCGGCATCCTAGGTCCTTTCACCTTCTCTACCAGAGCGGCGAGCTCCGCGCCACCGACGAGCTCTACACTGATGAACTCCACACGCCGATGAGCCTCTATTCTCCTAAGTAGCAAGGAGATGTCGTTGACACCATATGTTGCAAGTGTATATTTTAAGTGTTTCAGATGTTTTAGAGGTATGTTGTAAGCGTTTCATATGCATGTTACAAAAGTAGATCAGGATGTTGCACATGTTTGCAATGGTTGTAAATATATGTTGCAAGCGTCTGTTCTAAATGTTTTATCTCTTTTTCTCAGACATATGTTGTAAGTGTGCGTATTTAGATATTGCATATGTCTCACACATATGTTGCAAGTGTGTTGTATGTAATTTTCATATGTTTTGCAATGGCTTTTCAAGTGTTTTCATATGTTTTTTTGCAAGTGTTTCGGACGCATGTTTCAAGTGTTTCATCTGTCTTCAGACGCATGTTGCAAATGTTTTGTCTCGATGTTTCAAGAGTAGATCGGTTGTTGTTGCTGGGAACCCATGCAGCTGCTGGGGCGCCGCCGAACGGGTGCAGACGTCCAGGCATGGGAAGTGGATGGGGCGTGACCAGTCCCCACGTGGGGTGGGATGGCGTGAGCCCGCGTGGGCGCGCGAAACGGAGTGCAGGCGCGATCGTTTGGACGGACTTCAGCTCGTCCGTCCGGACGTCCGGACGCTAGCACTGTTGTTTACTTTTAGATTTTTTGAACTCTAATTCATCCGTCGTCAGGATTCTGGACTCCTTGCTTTTTCTAAATTTGACAAAGTGATATTAATAACGGCCCAGCTAATTTTCCAACCACTGAACTGTGCGTGCCTCCATTTTTTTAGTGCCTTTGCTCCCATGCCTCTTGTATCGTTTCAGAGAATCCAGGGCAATTGGTCCAGAATGCTTGAAATCTGAATCCCCGGTAGAAGTCGAGCTGAACGTCCCCCTGTAGTAGTGGGCAGTTACAACTAATAATATCTTCTTTGTTTCAGGTTATTTGAGTGGACATATGATTTGGTAGCAGTGGCAAGGCGGCAATTGGAGAAGGCAGCCAAGGACTTTTTTTTTTCCGGGCCACAAGAGTGGTGGTCTAGTCTACACACGTTGATAGTGTATCTATTTTATTCAAAACTCTGTGGGCTATGTGCATTTTAAATGCAGGGGTCCAAAGTGATCTCAAGAAGTTTGCATCAACATAATGCAATAACTGCAATGAAATCAATAAAAATGCTTTCTTTTTAACAAAAATGAGGCTGTAGCTTGTCTGCCTGTTTACCATGAAAAAGACTTCTTGACCTTTGGAATGATCTGGGCTGCAAATGGTCTTGCCTGTATCTGGTCACGTTTAGGTGTTTTCTACACTTGAAGTGTTCCCTACTGATGGGCAGCGATCTTGGCTCTGTATGCATATGTGGAACAGTGGAAGTGCGTCTTTCATGATACATATGTTGAAAAGATTGCTGAATTACATGAGAATTTTTAGCAGACGTTGTATTTAAGATATATGTTTCATTTTCAATCAACGCATATTTCTAAAGTTCTGACAAACATAAACAAATTGTAATAATACGAGTATGTTTTACTAGTACATTCAGAATAGTGAAGATGCTTATATGTTAACATTAGCTGATATGTAGTTTGTACTGCTACAAAACATTCAGTCTGCCATTTTAACATTGACTGCTATCTAGTTTTGTAAAGTTGCCTCTTATCCGCGCTTCTTCGACCAAGGTTCTAGTCGTTTGGTCCTTATCAGTGGTTGGTTCCTCTAAATATCAGTGTTTTTGTTCATGATCTTCAAACCTGTAATGGCAATGATCAAGTACTACAGACATATATTTCATTTCAGAGTCTCAATGTATGAGCTTTTTCATGACCTTATCTGTATGTAGTAGTTTTGCAGTCAGTGTGATAGGCTGATAGCACATATATAATTTTCCTTTCAAATTTTTATGCACCAAGATGTACCAAATCAACGACGACCTACTGTGTAAGGGCTAACATCCCGATCTAATAGTAACAAGTAGCTATCTCTGCATTTTCACTGCTATGTTTATACAAGTTCTGGCAGCCCGATGCAAAATCACTAGGCTTGGATGCAGCCTTGGGTGAAGTTGATGGGCTGTGCTCCTAAGCAGCAGCTGCAGCTACATGGACTGCAGCCGAGCGGATGGGCTGTGCAGCTACAGCCCAACATCTGCAAGAAACAGAAACGAGCAGGCCCGAGAGAGCAGTTTTATTTTTTACACTACAAACAGCGGCAGGTGGTAGCAACGCACTGTTTCATGTTTTCTATCGGCAGAAGTTCCAGAAAATTCCTTCGCAAAAAATAAGTCCTTAACGGCCAGGCACGTGTTAGCTCTAGATTCGTGACATCCACCCCTACGGTACGTGGCAAACGAAACATCGCCGGCCTTTCGCCCGAACCCAGTACTCGTGTCCACCACGTAACGCTCTCGGTCGCGCCACGCGTCTCCGGTGCGAGCTTTTATAAACGCAGCGCGAGGGGGACACCGACACATGTGACAAGCCTCATCTCACACGTGCAGGGCAGAGTAGTTTTGCTTCCCTTCGCATCCATCCATCCATCAGAATTCACACTTCCATAGCAAGGCGCTTGCGGTGCCCGGCAAAGCTTTGGTTCCGTGCAACACTGCCAGTCTGCCACCACCAGTCCAGCAGCAGCAGCTGCCGCCAGCAACAAAGAAAAGAAAGCAGCCATGGCGTTCGTGCCGGTGTGCGTACAGTGCGGGACGCGGAGCAACCCGTGCCGGTGCAAGGTGGTCGGGCCGACGCTGGGGTTCGTGGCGTTCGTGGTGGCCGGGGTCATCGAGTGGCCGCTGGGGGCCGCCGTGTACCTGTTCCGCCACCGCAAGGGACGCCGCATCATGGCGCACCCAGCCACCGTCGTGTACCCGCGCGTCACCAGGGCCATCCCAATCTAATCGCCCGATCGACTCAGCCAGCCGCGGGCGCGCTTCGTCTTCGTGAATCCCGATCCATCCATCCTGTTTCATGTCCCTTAAGCCGGGTTTGTGTCGACACCGTACTGAGATGTCAGTCCTAATTTGTGAATCCTTCTACATCCGCCTTCTTTTTCAATAAGAGTCGCAAGCGTGTGGTTTCAGTTTGTATACATTCGTACTCCGCTTGTAAGAATCGCCGTCAATGTACGTAATACTCCGTATCTCTTCAATCTATCCGAGCAAGGCCGTTCGGCTGGTCACAAAAGTCAGTCGGCTTGGTTCGACTTCTTTTTTCAATCGGAACAACGTTTTTCTCATAACAATTTAGTCGAAACAGTATTTTTTAGCTAAATTCAGCCCAACGAACGGGGCCAATTCATGGAGCATGCTATCCTTTGGTTGGATGATCTTTTTACCGATTAAGGGCTGATAATGACCGAAAGCTCAGACAGCAAGAAACTGAATCCCGTTACAGAAGAGGATCAACTTCCGAGCCTGCAGACTCGTCTTGCTGGACCATCTTGCTGACCCAAATTAGGAAATACTGATCCTCCAATCCGTGCATGGCAAACCGCCCTTGACGTCCGCACGATGCAGCGTTCACGCTCAATTTAAAATATATTTTGGAACAAGTCATTTTTCTCCTCGTTATCTTTTGTTTAAAAAAATCCGGCAAACAATTATATTGGAATGTTTAGATATCCTATATCTGCTAGTCTGCTCGGCTGCACTTCTCGTAACCTTAGTAAACTGCCGCACCTGCAAGGCTGCGAGAAGTGCAGCCGGCTCGGGTGATTGTTTTTTCTATGGTTTAAGAACTTTATAAAGTGTTTTTACCAAAATATATTTTATTAGAAATGATGAAACCTCCTTAAAAGCATTCTAAGCAGAGTAAAAAAGATAATTTAAATGGCTTATAGTGTTGAGTTTGTTCGATTTTAAAATTTGAATAGAAAATCTAGACTAGCGATAGAAGGCAAAAAGAGGATTTTATTTTCATCTTTAGTGGAAAAACTTCATCACCTCAAATAGAATGTCTAAAGCCCTCCCTCAAGGCCCACATCAATAGGTGTCAAAGCCCAATCCAATTTTTGGCACTTTATCCTACAAAGCCTTGCATCGTAGTATTTGAAGTCCGTAACAATTGCTCTTGTTTTTGTTTTATTAAACGGCAGCACTAATGCTCGGATGTCTGTGTTTGTCCGGACGTCCACGGATGCTCTGTTCTGTCCGCTCGGATTCATGCGCCGTCCACTTTAGCTCCGTTTTCTATGCTCACATCCAAACCGTCCACTTCAGATCTGCTGCACACGCTGCTCGGACAACTCGCTTCCACCTCTTCCACACCGACGCGACGCCCCGTCTCTTCCAAGCCGCCGGAAGACTCGCCCCCGCCCTTTTCACGACAGCACCGCGTGCATGTGTCTCCTCCCCACACCGCCTAGCGGCGCCCTATGCCTCCTCCACGCGTCAGCGGTCGCGGCTTGGTCCTGCCCGCCCTCATGGATACCAACACCGATGATGTGCACCTGTAACATGAAACACTTGAACACAACATACATTTAAAATAGATAAAATATTTAGGACATACACTTGCAACTTGTGTGTGAAAACATATATAACATTCAGATAAAACACTTGCAACATGAAAAAACGCTTACTGCAACATAAAACTGAAACAATTGAAACATTTAGAATATACTATTACAACATATGCAACATCTAGACAAAAAATAATTGCAATATACGTCTAGAAACATATAAAACATTTTTAACAAACTCTTGCAGCATGCTTCTGAAACACTTGCAACATATGCAACATGTGCAACATTCCCCAACTACTTTTGCAACATCCATAAGAAACAACTGCAACATACCTTTGAAATGACTAAAAACCCGAAACATACATTTGCAACATAGGGGAAGGGAAGCCTAGGCCGGTCGATTCTAGGGGTTAGAGTCGGCGGCGAGCGGCAGCGCACGAGCACCATGAGTACCCCCTCCCCGCTCATGGGTGCCCTTGGCTCGGCTGAGAAAAACCTGAGGCGCCACGACACATGCACCCTAGTGGCCATGGTGGGGTCAGCGGCGTGCGCGATGGAGATGGGAGACGGATGGACGGACGAACAACGAAGCGGTGAGTGGCATAACTGTCTAGGACGGGTGCACGACGTGGCCGACGTTGGGGCGCGGGGCGATGGAGCATGGTGCAGCAGCTGACGAGCGCGTGGTAAGGAAAGAGGTGCGGACAATGAGCGACCATGCTGCTTCGGGGTCGGGCGGATAAGCACGAAAGAGTGAGGGGTGTGGAGCGGGCGGATAAGCATGAGGGAGTGGGGGATTTTGTTTTTTGTTTGGAGCTCTCTCCTGGGGAGCCACGTCTGGACGGGAGTCTCAGATAGACACCCGAGATGGATCATTGTCGTTTATTAAAACAAATTGTAAGGTTTGAATTTTGAAAGACTAATTTGGCCTAACTTTAGAGAACTAGTTATTTTCATATCAAAATAGACCCTAATATTGATCCTAACAGATTAGCAACCAGAAAAACATGCCCCAACATTGTTCTCAACATATTAGCAACCAACTTTATCAACAGTAGTGTATATCTTCATGGATAAAGAGTTGTAGAGCAGTTCATTAGTTTCATGCACCCAACGATAATGATGCACTCAGAGCAACTCCAAGAACCCTTTTATATCATTTGTATTGATAGGAATAGAAATTTCAGTAAAAAAGATCCTCCAACAATTTCTTCAATTAAATCTCCAATATTACCATCATCTATTCCTAGTTTGTCATTAGCCAAAGATGAAAAGTGGGAATGACTCTGCAAAGTGCACATAAGGTATAGAAAAGTTGTTGGAACGTGGATAGATAAAGAGAGTGAATTTTACTCAAATGACTCTCCAAGAAATACTACTACACAAAATCTTAACCGAGGCGTTTCCAAAACTTTCTCTGAGGCGGTTGGGCCGGTTGCCCGCCTCGGTTATTAGTGGCAGGACTGCCGGCCAAGCAACCGCCTCGGTTAATCATTAACCGAGGTGGGCAACATAAAAAATCACCTCGGTTAATGCCTATTAACCGAGACGGCGCCCTTCACTCTCTCCCTCCCTCCACTCTCTCTCCCTCGCACTCTCTCTCTCCCTCTCACCCTCTCCCTTCCCACACAGGGGCGTAGCGGGCTGGCGCGCGCGGCTGCCCTCCTCTCTCCCTCGTCGCACGGCATGGCGGCACCCTCCTCACCCACATAGTGGCGCAGCAAGCCGACACACAGGCCTCCCCTCCTCCCTCGTCGCACGGCCTGGCAGCGCCCTCTTCCCCCATGCAGCGGTGTAGCGGGTTGACGGCGACGCTCCTCCCGATGGCGGATTCGGTGGTGGAGCGACCGGATCCGGCGGCGGTGCTCCTCCTGGTGGTGGATCTGGTTATGGAGCGGCCGGATCCGGGGCGGCGCTCCTCCTGGTGGTGGATCCGGCTGTGGAGCGGCCGGATCCAGCAGCGGCGCTCCTCCTGGTGGTGGATCTAGCGGTGTAGCGGCCGGATCCAGCGGTGGTGCTCCTCCTGGTGGCGGATCCGGCGAGCGACGCGGCAGCGGCCCATGGATGGGCTCGCCAGGCTTATCCACGGGTTTTTCCTTTTTATTTTTTTATTATATTAACCGAGGCAAGTAGGGCAACCGCCTCAGTTAAGGCCACGATTAACCGTGACCTTTCGTCCAAAGCGGTTGCAAAAATCGCCTTGGTTAAGGCTTTTTGCCCTCCTCGATTAAGTTTTCTGTAGTAGTGAAACTTTCTATATCCTTCCTAATTGGTAGGAATAGATATTTTGGTGGAAAAGTACACTCCGACAGTTTCTTTAATTAGTTATCCAAATATTGCCCTCTTCTATTCTGGATCTTTTACTAGCAAAAAAATAGAAAAAAGAAGAATGACTCTCTAGAGTGTAAGAGCAGCTCCAACAGCTTGGCTCAAATTAGTAGCCAAATTCCATATTTAGCCATTTTGTAAAATAGAAAACTCCTCAAAAAAGAAGAGGTCTAAAACAGTCTTCCTATTCTCATCTCAGATAGCTAGTGCTCGTGGTTGGTTTATATGGCTACCAAAAATCAGGGGATAGCCAGCTCCCTATTTTGCGAAGCCAAATAGCATATCTGTTAGTCTATCTTTTGCTATACAAATTCTAAAGTAGCATCCAAAACAAAAATAGTCAAGCTGTTGAAGTTGCTCTAAACGAGATATAGAAAACTGTTGGACAGTGGAAAGATATATAAAACAATTTTTATGTAAATAACTATTCAACTAATGATTTAAAGAGTGAACTGTAGAAAGATTCTTGGAGCATCTCCAAGAATACCCAATAATCCTTTCCGATCCATGATTTTTGGGAAGAACAAAAAAAATATATCTCTAATAACTCTCAAACTCACCTCCCAATCTTTTGACACTTAGAAAAAAAAACTCTCTCTTGGTGTAAAGATGCAACTCTAGGTTGTGCATATCTTCTCCCACAGCTATCCAAACGCCCGTATACTTGGGCCAATCTAAAGATGGAAGGGCGGAGAAAGAATAAAGAGTTGAAGGGTTGTTGATGCAAATGTACAAGAGAGAAAGAATATATAAAAGTTGTTAAAATAATTTAGATATAGTATATAATTCTTGATGTAAAATTGTCTTCTATATTTTATATTTTAGGAGTGAGTTACTGGAAACTGTTGGAGATGATCTTATTTATTACTTCCATCACATTTTGGTGAGTTGGAAAACTCTATAGTTTTGGGAAGAAATTTTTGGAAACTCTTGGAGATACTCTTAGAGATGTTCTCATGGGTTGCCCGCGAAGCGTAACTCCAAAAAATTCTTTATATTCTTTTCACAGTAATAGGAATAGAGAATTTGGTGACAAAAAGACCCTCTAAAATAACTTAGTCAATTAAATCTTTAAATATTGTCATTTTCTATTTTATGTTTGTGCTA